GGTTTTTAATAAATAAATTAGAGAAATGTATTTTAGGACCAATTTGCGTTATAATTTTTATCTTTCTAATCAGAAACGATGGTTTAAAAAAATAATTTCACCGTCTTATTCTAATATCGGCAATATACATAGTCTAGCCACGAATTATGTTACAAATAATTTTATAAATTAAATGATTAAGAACAAAAACTAATGGAATATAAATACATATTTTATTAGCCAATAGGACATATATTTTAAATATATACAATCATTCAAAATGTCCTCCCTTATTTTTGACACAGGATCTCAAACGTTCGGGTCACTGATCTATGGCGGCACGCACCTTTTATAAGGGTATTTCTTTCATTGCTCTCACCAATGCTGATTTCAATTGATCCAAATTATGATATCTTTTATAGCACACCTTCTTCTCTAAATATGCCTACAAACTGTAATCAAGAATATCCCAACCAATTTTCGTAGGTAATTTCAGCACAATGAGAACAAGATAGTTTATTATACTAATTTAACGATTCTGGTTATATTTTGTTCTCTTTAAACTATATTTAAATAAACCTTTAACTGGTTGAAGTGTTTTTTTAAAAAGAAATATGAATGCCGGCCAGGCAGCCTTTATCTTCAAGATAATCAAGACCAATTTTAGTCGTGAAGACTATGATCATGTGTGCAAGGACTAAAAATTCTTTATATTTTAACCATCGTATCAAAGATCTCAATATCATTCCCCCGAGCCTTGAATGTAAAAGCGCTGGTTCGAACTTCCTTTGGAAGACAGATTTCTAGAAGAGCAAGTCTTCAGTAAATCAAGGCATGCATCCAAGAATCTCACAGAATGGTAGATATACAGAAGCAATATTTAGTGAGTCAGCGAAGTGCTATTTCAGAAATATTAGATGGAAATTACATGGAAAACTCTTGAAGAGAGTATATAGAGAAAATAAAACTTTAACTGGTCGAAGTGTCTATTTTTAAAAGAAATATATTTTCCAATTGCACAATTTGTATTCGGTACTTTAATTTGTACAACACAGTATATTGAATAGAACGTTTTGCTCATATTAAAAGTTATGTAGATATTGTAAGAACAAGTTGGTTACAGTATGGTACTGGAAAATCCGGATGTTCTTTTAATGATCACGCCATTTCCGGACCATCTAGGCTGTGCCATCTGCCTCTTATTGCTGCAATGTGTATTTCCTTCCACAGCCAGCGGTCTTTCTTCAGAACAGTATCATTAAAAGCCTTCCAATATTCTAAACCTTTTTATTATTATCCCTAGTACACATGCTATAGGCCCTGATAATCATGGTGGGTTTTCGAAACGGCGATAAACCAGCACGATCTGAAAAATGGTACTGGGGCCAACAAATATAACCTCTACACAGAAATATTTATACCTGGGATATCCGCTAACCCCATCAATTTCATTTACCCAAACAGCTCTTCATTTTAAAGGTAAGGCCATAGCAGTCATAAGCGCGTATGGGAGATTCTTATGAAATCCAAATTAAATTATTTTCAATCAACAATGAAGCTGCTCGATACCATAGTTATAACAACTGCGTTTACTGTAAGTGTACCACATGTCTACATATGTGAAAAGCAGTTTGACTTTGCACTTACAAATATGCCAGAGCTCCTTTTGATTAATTGCACTCGCTGGTGGAGTTGGACTTTTGCAAGAATTGAGGGGCCATTGAAGCATTTTTTTTATTAGAAAAAAAGTGTCCAATGCGGGATTCGAATACGGGTTGTAGCGGTAGAAAACCAACGGTTTAGAACATCCTCTCACCAACCCCCTATAATCTAAAGTAAACCGAAGTAAACTTTTAGCTAATATTTATTCCAATAGATGGAGCTTTTCCACCTAAAAATACTTATTTGAGTGGTAAATTTATGTATTTTCGCTTATTTCTGATGTTTAAACTTCTTATTTTATCTCTTTTCCTTTAGAGATTTGTTTCAGCATTCTCATGGTGATTTGTTCTTCAATTTTTATCCTAATCTTCAATTATATTTCGATATATATACGAATATTGAATTAAAGAGGTATATATTGGATCAAAATATTATTTATTTTACCAATATTTCAGTCAGCTGAACGCTAACCTTTATCAAGGTATTATAGCATATTAATGTGTATCTCAAAATGTGTGTTTCAAAATGATATGCAAATATGTGACGCTTTACATGTACTTTATAAAATCGTGTACAAATATAAGTATAAAGAAGATATAGAACAATTTTTAACGCCTTATGCTAAATGCTTTATTTTTATTTATATCACCCGACGAAGACAAAAGAATTTTGCTGAAAGATTGATAAAATAAAACTTTAACTGGCCGAAGTGTTTATTTAAATATATATATGAAATCCGGTTTGGCAACCTCTATCTTTACAATATAGAAGATAGAATTAAATATTTTTATACATTTTTCGTCTTAGGAACAACGATTATAGAAATTCATTTTTTAGCGTATAAATATTTTCATCATAAAGTGAAATTTTTCTCACCGATTTATTCATTCGAATCTCTAACATGGAAAATATTTCTTTCAGCTTAGGAAGGCCTCTGCCTGAAATACCATTCCACCTTTCTATAAATAATTTCCAATCTTCCGATAATCCCTGACTCTATCGATTTTTTCGAAATATTTGACCAAAATTTCATCACCTTCTGCGACATTTTAAAATGGAATTTAGTCAATATTGGCTTTCCTTCCTTATTCTCACAAAATTACAGTTCTATTCACTTATAATTTACAATTTAAACAATTATATTATACACGCTAGAAGGGTTCTTAACCGATGAAACAGGCCCTCCCCAAGTTTTTTCTTTGCTTAAGGATAGAAATCAACGTTTTATTGTTAGAAGAATTTCTATTCACTTATAATTTACAATTCGAAAAATTATATTATACACGCTAGAAGGGTTCTTAACCGATGAAACAGGCCCTCCTCAAGTTTTTTCTTTGCTTAAGGATGGAAATCAACGTTTTATTGTTAGAAGAATTTCTATTCACTTATAATTTACAATTTAAACAATTATATTGATTCTTCTAATCAATTGGTACAGAGAAAAATAGCAAGATCAAATAAAGGATAATGTATAATAAAATAATAAATAACGTATAGATAAAATGAGGAAAATATATACAGCCGAATATGTGTACAAATCTCTTCAGCAAAGACCCCCCTTTACAACTTTACAGATTGAAGTATTTTGCGATCCTTTATATAAATCAAGTAATATTAGAAAAAAGTACGAAAAGACACGAGAAGTTTCTCTAAAATAAAAAAAATGAAATTTGAAAAAATGCTCTACTTTACTATTTTTTCTTAATATATCTTCTTTCGGCGACTTTTGGAAATGACTGAAACAAGTAATGATACTCTGAGAATTAAATAGATATTTGCATTTTTGGACGTATTTTGAAAGTAAGTATTGTTCTGTGGTCTATAGCCGTAATGACACTATTACAATGATTCTTTCCCATTTGCCATGCAGAATTATCTGGAAACACTATCTGAATCATATTCTCTACGAATTTCTCAGAATGGAGATAATAGACATTGTCTAGAACCATCATACATAATTGCAAATTCGTTTAACCAAGCTTTATCGTTATTACCTATTTATAAACGATCGAATAACACGAAATAGGAAGTAATGAGTGATGGTTGTACGAGGTACTGGATATGAGAACTACCTGAAAATATCTGCCAAGTTTCTTTATACTCAATGCTATCTACCAAGTAGATAGCCATTATAATAAACTCTTGATCATAATTAGCTGGTATTTCATATAAAAGTTCGTATTAAGATCCATAACCAGACAAAGACGTTCCTGGCCATAACATGATAATCTCACTGATGAACCATAGTTGAGTGACCGTGTTTGGAATGAGGAACATTTGAGATTGTAAGCCACGAAGTGAGAAAATAATAAGAATAAAAACCTCTTCTCTGAAAACAGCTAATTTTATATATTTATAAATTTCGTATTTACATGATCTACTTGGCTATACACATTTTGAGGTCATGGCGCAATATATGGGAAGGAGAATTGGGGAATTGAAGAAACTATATAGGATTTAAGAACTGAACAAGGATTAGGAGAATGAAAATTGGGCGGTAAAGTGAATGAAGTAGGTACTGATAGGTAGCTTATAATAAAGGTATGTGTATGAGTGTACGTGCGTGTGTTGTGCGTATAAGTGTACGTGCGAATGTTGTATGTACATGTGCGTTTGAGTACATAGATTATGCCACCTAAACCAGCTAAACTCAAATAAATCGAGTGATTTAAGACTAGAGTATATTCGGATAATAGTAGAATATCTATATACACTTATGAACAAAACTTAAAGAAGTTGTACCTTTTAGCACATATATCGGGATTTAAATAAAAACTATGAAGTATATTACAGTGACCTTTATTGAAGACACACGAGATAACCAAGTTAGAACAAAATTGCCTCTGTGTCCTTAAAAAAAAACACAATTACCGGCGACGTCAAATATTTATTTCATTTGTATAATTGGATTGATTAATTTTACAACCCTATTCATTAATTTTAAGCTCTCTTATAATAAATTTTATTTATATAAACTCTATAGGTGTTGTAAATTTTACCTTATTTCATTTCTCATAAGGTGGATGAAATATATTTATGAGATATTTGATAATATTTGACAGAGAGAGAAGTCGCCATGATAAATATTATCAGTTTTCTGGACAAAAAACTCGCAGACTATAGTTAAATACATGCTGTGTGAGGAAATCATATTCTAATTATAATCAAACATCCTTTGTGTTTTTAAGGAATAAATAAAATCAGTTTTGAAACACACACTCTTAAAACTATTTTTTAGTATTCATCTCTTTTTAAACGACGTTTTACTTTTGAGAAGAAATAATGACTATTTCTATCCTTAGGGATGAAGTATGAAAGGATGAATTGTGAAGAGTAATGATGAACGAAAAAATAAAAGTGTCCAGGAATTGGAATCGAACTCACAGTGTTCCGCTTACAAAGCAGATGCTATGTCCACTAGGCTACCCTGGACATATTTTCCGTTTGTAAAAATTTTTCGTGCAAAAGAAACATTTGCGGTAAAAATTGTCAAACGTATTTCACAATCATAAGCCGAATTATATTGTATTATTCATATCTTTAAATAACAATAAAAATTCGAATGGGAATCATGTGTGAATTGATTCTCTCCAATTTTTCAATATTCACAAATCTTTACCGTAAATAACTGTTTCAATATCCTTAGGATGCATTGAAGAATTCCGATAAACTCTATTTTACAATAAAAAATAAAGGTTTTTATATCTTTTCAAAAAAACATTCATTACCAAACTAGTAAACATCAAAACATTACTAACGGAGAAATGCCAACAACAAAGTAAAAGAAATCAGAAGATTTGAAGAAAAGGTTTAATTAAACTACAAAAGAACTTTGAAATTAAATTGGAGTACATGAATGTGGCTTTTAACTTTAAAATAACTTTTTAAATAATGTTTTTATTTTTCCCTCGACTTATTTCTCTCTACTTTCAAATTTTCAATTCGTTATAACTTGCTATGTTTCAAATTTTCTGAAATTCTATAGTTTTATTCACTGAATTTTGCAAAGTTTGAAGTATTATAGAGAAAGTATATTCCTTCCCTAGGTATATGGAGATCTATGGATACGCTTCAGAAGCCTAGGTTATCTGTAGTATAAGTATATACACATATAAAATTACTAAATATACAGGGTAGTTCATAGGTCGCAAACCCTTTTTTTTATTATTAAAAATTAAAATGCAAATAAAGGATAATAGATTGTAAAACGACATTTGAAAATTATCCCGCATGTGTTTCTTTCAAACGAAAAATTGATATTTATTTTTTAAGGAGAAATAACGATTATTTCTAACCTTAGGGATGACGTATGAAAGGATGAATTGTGAAGAGTAATGATAAACGGTAAAATAAAAGTGTCCAGGCATGGGAATCGAACCCACAGTGTTCCGCTTACCGGGCAGATGCCATGTCCACTAGGTAAGCGGAACACTGTGGGTTCGCTTCACATCCCTGAACACTTTTATTTTCCCGTTTATCATTACTCTTCACAATTCATCCTTTCATACCTCATCCATAAGGTTAGAAATAATCGTTATTTCTCCTTGAAAGTAAATTTCGATTTTTCGTTTAAGAGAAACACATGCGGGATAATTTTAAAATGTCTTTTTACAATCATAAGCCGCATTATATTGTATTATAAAAAGGATAATACAGTTTGATAATTTCAATTCTTTTTTAATATCAAGGGAAAACATTTTCTAAATTAAACTTGGATGGAACCTGAACACAAATATATGTTAATTAGACAAATATTATAAATGTAAGTTAAACCTTTTTTAAAATGGTATCAGGACTTACGGACTGTGTATACATTATACACCCTGTGTATAAATTTATTTTTGAGATGAAGTTATATCAATAACATATATAAATATCCAAATATAATATAAATCGTTAGTAATAAAGTATTTGATAATTTTGATATTGATGATATGTCGAAAAAAAAAACAATAAATGATTGATCAAAATTATGGATTATTGTATGCGACTGATCTTATGATTTATTTTTAATAGAGTTAGTTTAAATGGTCATTTTTCGAATTAAAATATATTTTTAGGCTAAATAAATATATTTATACGAACGAGTATTTAATTTAGATAAAAAACAATAATGTTCGTTTATACATTAGAGAAAGACCTATTTGTATTTAGATCACTATGTATTGATTAGTATTAAAAAAGGCATATTCAGACCACGAGAACATGAGCTTTTAGATGGTAGAGCGCCATATAATGGAACAGAAATCAACTAAACGTTGATTTACCCTTTTCCTTGATATTATATTATATATTATTATATATTTTATTTTTAATTTTTCACCACATTGTTTAGTATCCACAAGGAAGATTCTATTCATGATAAAATTGTGAAAAAAGTTTTAAAATTACAAAATATTTTCTCACAATGAGTTTCTTTTTATTACAAAACGCTAGCTTTCAAGTGATAATCACTCTTCAACGGGCTTAATAAAATATCGATTATATCCTACAAGAAATATTTACAAAAAAAATCTTGTAGGAAATAGTCGATGTTTTATTAAGCCCGTTGAAGAGCGATTATCGCTTGAAAGATAGCGTTTTGTAATAAAAAGAAACTAATTGTGAGAAAATATTTTGTAATTTTAAAACAAGGAAGATTACTGAAAACTTTACTATTGAAAACTATATTGTTGAATTTGTTTATAAAATTGTCAAACGATGAAGGGAGTTTTGAATTATGATAATATTATTATATATTATTCATTGTCTTGATAAATACAATATATGTTCTCATTGACCATCTTAATTAGAACGTCTTACTGCATGAAAATACTCCAGTAAAATTTGTCAAAGGTTTATATGATATTAACTTGGAGAGTGAAGGAGTGAAGCCAAGAAATGACCTCGCTTGATGATGATCATTTCAAGCATTCAATTTGGCTTAAAAAGGATATGGTGTGGGGTGCCAAATATCACCCATTCTGTCCTGCTAGATAAAAAAGAACATAATAGAGAACTATATTTTTGTTGTGAGTATTATACTTTGGCTGGTAACCAGAATATTCTAGAAAAGAATCTATATTATAGTATCTCGTTATCATAAAACCTTTTTTTTTTAACATTTCGAGGATTTTCTGTAAAATGAATATTGAATATTGATTCTGTATTCTTTTAATAATTTAATGCTTCAGGCGATTGACCAAAACTTATAATACTAAATATATATTATGAGCATATAAAAATCATTTTAATTTAAAAATTAATTATCCCGATATTTTTTTATGACAAAATGGATTTAACGGTTTATCGTTTTATTCTGTCATGAAATAATTTAGCTCTGTATGGAGGGCTCGGATTGATTATATTGAAAGATATTAGGTGTTTTGTTCTTTGAAATTTACATTGTATTTGTGAGGGGTTAATGTTCTATATTATTTAGATTGAGGATTATTTTAATAAGGTTTAGAAATGCTGTCACATTCTAGACGCGTTCATAAAAATGCCTAGTTCGTAGCGTATGTTATAAAATACCTCTCCAATCAATTATTTGGTAAATTGAACCCATTTCACAGCTACTCTCGTAGGATTTTATCAAATCGAAGCCGCCCATATACTGATAAGGACTAGAGCCCGAAAACATTGTTATACAAGTTGGATTTTTTCCTTAATTTGGCAAAACTGGTGATGGGGATCATTTTATATTATCATTAATAAAGTGTTTAACAATGGTGATGAACAGTGCATTGTTTTGAGACATAATTAAAGGTCGAGATGCCTACCTTTGGTACATAATTATCATCATCCCTCAACTTTATGTTGTATATATTCGGATTAGTGTTTGGAAAAATGTAAACATGATTACAATTTCTATAATTACAATCACAAAAATATTTTTTTTTACCTATTTGCTATAATTACAATTATAAGTAATTCATAAGGTAAAATTAATATGAGATTATAAAAACACAAAGTAAAAAGAGACAATATACAATAATAAAAATATTATTATGAACATTATTTATTAATTCGGAATTGATTTTATTACATCGTGTTTCTAATTCACAATTTGTGTTCAAATTGTTCATATTAATTACTTGTGATTACAATGATATAAAATGTAATAATGATTACATTCTACCCAGCACTAATATATATAAAAACAAAAATAGTATAATTCGAAAATGAAAAGAAATTGTAGCTCTTCGATTCCATGTAGGCCATTTGGCTCACTTGGCAAATATTTGAAGACAAGCTACATAAGAGACTTTAGATTTGTTTTGAATCTATTTATTTTGTGAATGCTGAATTGTTATCGCTTAAGTCCGATTTCTTCTTCTCTAGGTAGAGACAGCCTTTCGAGATCCTATTTTCTTCGGTTGAAATCCATCTCTCGAATCCTTTCTTTTTTACCGAAGTCTGTCTCTCGAATATCATATCTCATTACGCCGTTCGAATATCTTTCTTTATTCTGCCGGAGAATTGGAACAGACTATGATATTCATTTTTTTTATTATCCCTAGTACACGTGGTACAGGCCATGGTGTCATGGTGGGTAGAAGTAGGCAACTGCTTTTACTGTAAGTGCACCACATGTCTACATATGTGAAAAGTAGTTCGACCTTGCACTTACAAATGTGCCAGAGTCCCGTCACTTGAAAAGGTCCTACCCCACCAGCGAGAGCTCGGTAACTGGCACACTTATAAGTGCAAAAGTCAGACTGCTTCTCACATTTGTTAACATGTGGTGCTCCTACCGTAAAGGCAGTCTCCAACTTCTACCCACCATGATTATCATCCATATCCATCCATTTTTCTTCAATGGCCCCCGATTCTTGCAAAATTCCAATCCCACCAGTGAGTGCAAGTAATCAAACATGACTCTGGCACATTTGTAAGTGCAAAATCAAACTGCTTTTCTCATGTATAGACATGTGGTGTACTTACACAGTAAAACCAGTCGCCTACTTCTAACCACCATAATCACCATTGCCTATACCACGTGTACTAGGTATAAGCATAAAAATGAATATCATAATCTGTACCAAGTTTACTAGAAATAAAAATATTAAAATAATGGTAAAGGTATTAAAAAGATAAAATAAATTTTCATAGAGTATCTTTTTGTAGAAAGCTATTTTCTCTTGAAAACTTACATTTCAAATGAAAAAGTAAATTATTGTTAAAAAATCTAAACTTATTATTTATTGATTATTTTTTATAAAAGAAATAACTTAAGAAGGCAAAGTAGGCATTTACAAAGATTTAAATTGAGTTCTATTTTTTTCTTCAAAATTTTCATTCAGCCAATAGGGAATAAACTAAATCTTGCTAAACTATTGTAAGCTTTGTTTAAAATTAATTGTTAACAAAAAGAGGTAATCCCTAGCGAAATTTTCTTTTCCTACTTAATTATTTTTGGAACAATTAATTCATCAAATTAGCTAGTGTTT